AGGTTAGGTTAGGTTAGGTTCTTGTTGTTAGAGAGAGAGAAAAAGAGAGAAAGAAGAAGAACCACAAAAACTCATACAGTACACTCCACACAATGCAAGAGGACACACACACACACACACACACACTCACACACACACACACACACTCACACACACACACACTCACACACACACACACACACACATAACATTAGCTCTTAATCGCTCCCTGCTAACTTGACTAACCTCATCTATTGACAAAATAACACAACTTGTTTTTATGGAAGCATTTTAAAACCTTTTATTTATTTTTTTTCTATTTGATAAAACGAATTGATAAAAGTCTTTCTGGTGGTTAAAGTTAGATGTGTTTGGTCGTCGAGGTTTATGAGTCATTCTGGTTAATGTTGAGGTTATTAGTGAAGTAGTGGGGAGCTTTTTTATATACGAGTTTAGTTAATTATTTTAATATATTCGTGGATAAATAGAGAGAGAGAGAGAGAGAGAGAGAGAGAGAGAGAGAGCACTCATTCACCACAGCCTCTGGACTTTATAAGCGATATCATTACTAATTACACTAAGTTAAGACATTGTTGTGTAATGCAGCCATGAGAAACTGAAAGTTGTATGAGATAGCAGCGGAGGGGGAAGGGGGCGTGTGTGCAGGGAGGTGAGGGAAAGAAATGCAGGGGACAAAGGACGTGTGCAGTGGAGGGAGGGGGAGGGAGGGAGAGGGGGGAAGGGAGAGAAAGATGTGTGCAGGGAGGGGAGCCGCTGTCATGAAGTACCAGTAATAGTAGATGACAAGAGGTAGAACAGCTGACATGACACTTGTACCTTGCATTGGGTAATCTGACCTGACCTGACCTGACCTGACCTGACCTTACCTGCTAGGGAACAAATTGACCACTAAATGATTGACATGACTTGACAGGAGTGAGATCCAGCCTCCTTACCACTGTACAATGAACGATTCTGAAAACCTTTGAGAAAATATGAAAAATATAATCATCCAAAGAGGGAATAACCTAACCTAACCTAACCTAACCTACCCTAACCTAACCTAACCTAACCTACACGACGCTGCCAAATAGTCCACCATTACGAAATAAACGTTGGACATATATCTTCAATCACTTCTTCCAACCAAAACGTTTTCGATGTCACGTGATATTAATTGGGACGTTTTGTTTTCTGGAGATGAGGGGCCGAGGAGGGGTGCTGGGGGCGAGAGGAGGTGAGGGAGGGATGAAGGGGAAGGGGGTGAAGGAGGCGAGGGGGGGTAGAGGAGGGTAAAAGCGAATGTTCATCAGGGCTGTCGGGATCTAGGACCATATTTCACCATACATAAAGAAGGAAGAAAGATAGGAAGAGGTAGAGAGAGAGAGAAACGGAGAGAGAGGAGAAAGATACAGAGAGAGAGAGGGGAAGAGGACTGATGAGAGAGAGGGTGGGTACAAAGCCAACGAAGGAGAGAGAGAGAGAGAGAGAGAGAGAGAGAGAGAGAGAGAGATTAATAAAAGAAACTCACGGTGGCCTCCTCCTGCCTGGCCAAGCTGTCAATAGTACAGGCGAGGTAATAAAACACACACAGCTGCTGGGGAAAATATTGGCCTGCAGTGAGCCACACTTACGGGGAGACAAGGAGCGGGACACTGTCTAGGAGGGAAGGAGGGGAAGGAGGGGAAGGGGTTGAGGTTGAGAGTGAGAGAGAGAGAGAGTGAGAGAACTAGTGGGAGAGAGAGAGTGGGTACAAAGTCACTGTGGGGAAGAGAGAGAGACAGATCACTCACCCATGAATGGTTCACGGGAGAAAATCAATATTTACTTCTACCTGTTTATCTTAAATGTATTTTGTGTACACTCAGTAAACCGTTTATTTCAAAGCTTCTTCAACTGCATAGTAGGTTATTTACACACACACACACACACACACACATAGAACAGTCAGGTTTCTCAGATAAATTATTTTGTGTCTACACTCTGTAATATTGATAAACTTGAGACGCTGACCTCTCTCTCTCTCTCTCTCTCTCTCTCCTTTGAAAACGTACCCAAAAGAATAATCATTACATTACTCTACCGAGACGTGAACGATGGAACATTTTCCTAAATAAGTTCAATGCAAGAGGGAGGGTGAGGGGGGAGAGGGTGAAAAGGGAGGGGGGAGGGGGGCAGTGGAATTGTGCATTGGTAGAGAATTAGGGGAGTAGAAAGGGACAGATGAGGGAAGGGGTGGAGAGAGGGGATAGATAAGGAGGAAGAGGGGAGGTGGAGGGGGGACGAATGAAAAGAGGGTAGGGGAGTAGGGAGGGGGAAGAGGATAAGGGAGGAGGAAGGAGGAAGAGGGGAGGAGGAGGAGGAGGAGGGAGGAAGGATGATGAGAAAGTCACTTCACATTATTAAATTCCTAGAAATGTGAACGAAAAAAATAATAATTATTTCCTATCATTTCTCTTTGTTATACCAGAGTAAGAATTAGTAGCCAGGCTGTAACTCAAACACTCTTAATTAATTACTAATCTATTATAAGTGTGTGGCAACAACGCACTACACGCACTTACAAATTTAATAAGTGAAACAAGTGGATTGTAGTGAAGTTTTAGTTTTTATTTCTTAGCTACCAATAACTACGAGGTTATGAGTTGTATATTGAGTGATCTGCGTTACTTAAACTTGACCTTTTGAGCTATATTAGACTCTCTCTCTCTCTCTCTCTCTCTACACCCAGAAGAAGACGTGTATGTGCATTTTTGTGTCAGTGGAGGTCCGATCCACTAAAGATTCGAACTACTGGAGGTTCGGACCACTGATATTGGGACCACTGGAGGTTCGGATCACTGGAGGTTCGGACCACTGGAGGTTCGGACCACTGGAGGTTCGGACCACTGGAGGTTCGGACCACTGGAGGTTCGGATCACTGGAGGTTCGGATCACTGGAGGTTCGGATCACTGGAGGTTCGGACCACTGGAGGTTCGGACCACTGGAGGTTCGGATCACTGGAGGTTCGGATCACTGGAGGTTCGGATCACTGGAGGTTCGGACCACTGGAGGTTCGGACCACTGGAAGTTCGGATCACGAGGTTCGGATCACTGGAGGTTCGGACCACTGGAGGTTCGGACCTTCAGCTTGAAAGCTCAGCACGAACTTTCCTCGGAGAAAACATTAAACTCGTGTTTTTGTGTATATGTGGAGAGGAGGAGGAGGAGGAAAAAGCGAGAGAATGAAGATGGAGGGAGCGATGAAGGAGGCAGGTAAAGAGAGAGGGAAGAGGTAGAGAATGAGGAGACAAGGGGAAGGGAGGAGGGAGGGATGGAGAAGGGAAAGAGGAAAGGAAAAAACTCAATAAAATAACAGCGCGTTGGGGGATGGAGGGAGAGAAAGGGGGAGAAGAGAGAGAACGAGGGTGAAAAGAGGGAGGAAGTCGGATGAAAGGAAAGGAGTGAGGGAGAAAATGAAAGGCAAGGAAAAAAGTGAAGAAATATGGCTGTAAGAAGGAAGGGAAAGAGAGAGAGAGAGCGTGTGTGTGTGTGTGTGTGTGTGCGTTTAAGAAAGAGAGATAATTAATCATAGAAAAAGTAAAAGTTAAGAGTGTGTGAGTGTGTGTGTGAGAGAGAGAGAGAGAGAGAGAGAGAGAGAGAGAGAGAGAGAGAGAGAGAGAGAGACGTCAGCCATAAATAAAGGAGAAATTTGGGCGAATCGTAAGGGCAAGAGGGAAATAATAGTAAGGTAAACTAAGGGGCAATAGATGGGACAGGTAGTCTTGCCCACTCATAAACTCCCAGGTAGAAGAAATAAGATTTTTTTTTCTGTAATAAATATCTCAACGGCATACACATTGGGACCGGAAAAAATCACTATTATTAATACAATGGTTGAAAGGATGAAAGAGAGATAGAGAGAGACTCACCCCCGACACTCCCAAACACACACAGACGCACTCAAACACACCTAGACACACCCAAACACACACAGACGCACTCAAACGCAGCCCAAAATTACCCCCAAAACTCACACAAACTCCTTCAAACACCTCCATAAAAATCAAAGACCTCCTTCAAAGACCTCAGCCAGTCAGTCACAGCCATCCAGCGACCCAGTCAGTCAGTCACCCACCCGTCCAGCCAACCACCCACCCAGCGCCCCACCCAGTCGACGATGGGTTAAGTGGATCAGATATAACAGAAGCGGAACCAGAAGTGAGTGTGAGATTTATTTAATTGCTTTGATGGGACGAAAAAAGTTGACAAATGTTGAAGAGACTTGAACAGCTACGAGGAGATTGATGACTGTGGTGCGGGGGAGGAGGGAGAGAAGAAGGGAAGAGGCGATGGAAAGAAGGAAGAAAGAGAGAGAGAGAGAGAGACTTGGAACAGCTACGAGGAGAGTATTTTTGGGTGGAAGGAGGGACGGAAGGAGGGAGGGAGGGAGGGAGGAAGGAGGAGGAGGAGGAGGAGGAGGGAATACTTGAGCAGCTATGAGGAAGAGATTAATGGTCAGGTGGCCTGGTAAGGAAGCTGTTTGAAGGAGAGAGAAGGAAGAAGGAGGGGGGAGGGAGGGAAGGATGGAGGGATGGAGAGAGGACAGAGGAAGTAGTTATCTATGACTGTCCTAAGTGTCCTTCCTAGGTCATCTGTGGACATTTAGCCAATAGACACACAGGTAAGAAACATTCAACCAATAGGAACACAGGTAGGAAACAGACAACCAATAGGAACACAGGTAGGAAACAGACAACCAATAGGAACACAGGTAAGAAACATTCAACCAATAGGAACACAGATAGGAAACATTCAACCAATAGGAACACCGCACGGGATTAACGTCATTGAGGTCTTGCGGGTACACTACTGAATTACTTGGCCATCTGTTGCAAGATTATTGAACTGACAAGTTAATTAGCCAATAGAAAAATAGCGCGGGAACTTTTAGCCAATAAGGGCAGGTGTGTGGTGGGCGGAGTTGCGTAACGAGCAAGACAACCTGTCTATTGTTCATAAGCTCCGCCCCCTCGTGACG